ATATGAAAAAGATACCATCTTAATTTCTTTCGTGAGGAACAAAAATCGTGATGAACATATGAAATTATTGGGAGTAGACTTTCATAAGATAATAATCCAAAGAAAATCAAACTAAAATTGATTTTGTTTTGGTAAAATTTCTATTTGGGCTTGTTGTTCCAAGTTATCTATTTGTTCTGCCGAATTACTGGGAATAATTTCCATAAGTTCGGTTGGTTCTGATTTAACTTCTTTGGTGTTTGGTTTATCTTCGGCTGAAAGTGATAACTGTCTTTTAAATTGCCTAGTTAGACCAGTAGAACTTCCCTCTTGGGGGTCTTTTGGAATATTGAAGTTATTAATGTCTAATTTCATCCCTGCAGAACCTCATTGTTCGATTTGTAATTTAATTGTTTTAGTATCTATTAGTCGACTAGTGTAAACTACTCTTGGGTGTGATTTGTATTTAGGAAATCTAATTTCAATTGGCAAGGCTTGGTTGAATTCTTCGGTTTCTTGATGTTGTTGAGTGAATTTGGTGTTGTTTTTATACTTAATTTCATAATACCAATCACCTAAAATCTCCTCTAATTCCTCAGCAGTTGGTCTTTGTAAGGGGTCAACATTTCAACACCTATTAATTAAATCTTCTAATAGTTGAGGTATTTTAGGTTTATCAGGAAATTGAGGTCGTAATCCTTGGCAGATATCTAAGGCTAAGGAAGTGTTGTGTTCTCTATCAAAATAAGGATATGACATTGAAAACATTTCATAAGCAACTATTCCAAACGAATAAACATCTGAGGCTTGGGTATATCCTTTTTCTAATAATACTTCGGGTGCCATATAAGGCATTACTCCAAAGATTTTACCATCATCAGTTTCACTGGCTGGTTTGGCTAATCCGAGGTCAGTGATATAACTACTAATCCAATCATCATTTAATATATTACCACTATGAAAATCTCGATGAACTAAATCTTTACTATGAATGTCTCTTAATCCCCGAGTAATATTGTATAATTTATAGAGTTGTTTTTGTTCAAAACTTAATTTACTAAAATTATTCTGTAAATATTCTCGTAGATTACCACTCTCTATATATTCCATCACCATCAGATAGTTCTTAGTAGTTGGGTCTTGGGAAATGCCGTAACAATTGACAATATTACTATTACTACGCTCTCCACTAAATAACTTATGATTAGCAATTTCTTGGCAGAATTCAGTTGTCATGTTTTGAGAATTGTTTAAACTTTTTAGGGCAATTATTCTATCATTGCCACTTTTATACTTTCCTCACTCAGCTTTATAAACTTTACCAAAGCCACCATCGGCTAGGTGTTCGATGTTGGTAAACTGTTTATAAGGTATTCAAACTAGGGTTTTTTTTCACTTAGTAGCTACTGATTGTTGTTGTTTAATAAAAACATCTATTTCTTTATTACCACTAGTTATTTGGGTAAAGTCTTGTTGATTACAAGGAGGACATCAATTATATTCAGTGTTAGGTTGCTGACACTTTTTACATAAGTCATAATCTCTATATCTCTTTTGTAAATTTTTAAACTCTTCTTTATTATTTAAGGTTCATTCGATATCTTTGTTATTTTTTTTCTAGACCACCAATAAATAGATAATCTCGTGGTTCAAATCCTAATCCTATTCATTGTTTAGTTTGTTCTTTATTAAATCCTTGTTCTACTCAACCTTTTCAGTGTGAGTAGTCAAAACTAGTATAAATATCTTGTCAGTATTCTGTTAGTCGGTTATGAGAACATCCAATTGCTCTAAGTTGGTGGAAATTACTAACATTTAAGGAGATTAGTTTATTATAATCACAAATTAATCATTTTAAATTAATAAAATCTGAGAGGTCGAGGTCTCCTTCAAGGTTTTGTCTACTAATATCTAATCAAGTTATTTGGTCTCGGGTTTTACCTTTGTTATCATAAGGTTTACCCCATCTATTTTTTTCTATTTTACAAACATCATTTTGGGGATAGTTTTCATCTAATCATTCTTGGGCTTTGATTAGTTTAGTAATCTTAGCATCTTTACTTTGA